ATTTTGTTTGGCAACTCTTAGGAATTATAATTATTAATGTCATTAAACAATTTTCATAGTGCTCTATTTTTGTAGTTTCCACTGTTATTAAGCACAGAAAGGGTGCATTCAGTTGCCTGGTACCCTCCACTGATATTATGAAAATTATACCTTGTATGCAACATTGGTTGACATATCTTTGTTTCATGAAGTGAAATACAAAAAAAAATGCTGAAACATTAGAACTGAATAAAATTTGGTAGGCAACAGTAGAAGATGGTTGTTTTTGTTGTTCAACTCTTACAATGTCATCGTTTTAAGACTCCCTTTTCTTTTGCAAATACTTTCATAAACATTCTTTAATTATATAATTTTAAATGTTCAAATTTTTAAGTCCTTTGTGGTAAATACTATATCTGAGCATTAAAATAAAATTTTCTCTCAAGGTTCAATTGTATGAAGACTTTGCCCGCAGTCGTGCCAAGCAGAATCTGGATGACACCCTGAGTGATGAAGAGACAGTGAGTGTCCAAGGAACAGCACACATCTTTCAGGTGAAGAAGAGTTAGGAACTTTAATCTTTGCTTACATATTTCCAAATCAGTTGCACAGAAATGTTAACTTATTTGTGCTATGTATTTTCCTTTTTTTTCTAACTTTCATTGCTACAAGCTATTTTTTTTCTTCCCCCAAATATTTTATTTTTATTGAAAAGGGTAAATTTATTATTTATGAAAAAATACAATCAGCAGACTTTAAAGACTTTTAAAGTTCAGTCTTTTTTCACAACCATGAGTATTTGTTTTTAATCATATAATGATGATTTTTTATTAACTGGAATTAATTTTAATTAACTGGACATGAAGAATTAGGGTAGAGTCAATAGTGCAATAATGCAAAATTAAGCATTTTAATGTATTTTTTATTAATGAAAATAATAAGTAATTACTCCAACACAGCATTTTGATATGTATCTGCATATTATGGGTCCGGCATGGTCAGGTGGTTAGAGTGCTCGACTCGCAATCTGAGGGTCGCGAGTTCGAATCCCTGTCCCACCAAACATGCTCGTCCTTTCAGCCATGGGGGTGTTATAATGTGACGGTCAATCCCACTATTCGTTGGTAAAAGAGTAGCCCAAGAGTTGGTGGTGATGACTAGCTGCCTTCCCTCTAGTCTTACACTGCTAAATTAGGGATGGCTAACGCAGATAGCCCTCATGTAGCTTTGCGCGAAATTCAAAACAAACAAACAAACAATCTGCATATTATGTCTCTTCACTTAACTCACTCTCTCACTCATTGGGGAAAGACTAAGATTAAATTTGAAATGTACATATTTACCTCTATATGGTATAGTGAAATATATTGGGCTGCATGCACCATTTTATAGGCCTTGCAGTATCTTCGGAAAGTGTGTAACCACCCAAAGTTGGTCCTGGGAACTCAGCATCCAGAGTATGAACGTTTCATCAATCAGTTAAAGAAACAGAACAGTGCTTTGACTGACATCCAGCATGCTGCCAAACTGTGTGCTCTCAGGTAAATCCAACATTTGATTAACCATTCAGTAGTGTATTGTGTAAACTATATGAACTAAAATTTTAGTATGAACTAAAATTTTAATTGATGACTTGCCATAGAAAGTTTCAAAGTTTATGTATAGCTACTGTTGATGTTTTAATTCTATGTGGGATCTAATTAACTATTGAAGAACGAATTGGAATTGATCATTATAAGGGTCTGATCACTACTTTTTATTTATTCTGATGTAAGAAACACTCAATAAATTTTATTATTACAGCTGACTTTAAATGCTAAGGTTTAGTACATATTGTTTATCTTTGTTGTTATGAGGTACTCTCATTGATTAAGGATTTTGGGTATAAAAGCCCTTAGCTCCTGTTTACTCAATTCTTATCGTTCCTCTACTTTTTTGTTGACTGATAACTGTCAGCAGAAGCTTGTGTGTCAATTTAAGACAGTAAAAAGGTCTTTGAAATATAATTTTGTAATCTCATTCTGATTTGCACTAACCCATTGATAAGTAAGAATACGAACTTAATGTAGTTTGTCACTAACAGTGAAAGGCATGTTGTTGGAACCACAGAAAGCTAAGCCTTTGAATGCATTGTTTCTTAAATGGTCATGCCTTCCTTTAATTGGACAGATTTTTTGTATTGTAGCTTTATATTTAGAAGAAACTCTTAATCCTAAGTTTTCCTTTAGCACTGGCTGAATCTTGACATTGCTTGTTTTCCTGAATGCTTGTAACCTTACTTTTTGGACCATTTGTTTGTATTAATTAGCATTTCTAACAGAATTAACTACAAGGTATTTATTTCACTTTTGTAAGCCTAGAAGTAAGTTTTTAAAGACGTAGCTTTAATTTGATAAACTTATTTCTTATTGCAAACCATCAAATTGTGAAATAATCAGACTAAAGTTTTATAATTTAGTCAGTTGGACCTCTTTTAATGCTTATACTAACAGCTTTAATTACAATTTAAGCTCTTCACATCTGTTTATATTTTTAAAGATATATTGAGCTGATTGGCTACAGATAAAAGTGGTTAATAACAATATTTAATCTAATCTGTCAACGGTACATAAAGTAATAAATTAAAGTACTAGTTATAGTTCACCTTTATTTTGGAATAAGTTAAAAATCTTAAGTTTCTGATTTTATTGTGTTACGTATAATTTGTAGTGTAAATCTCTTCGAGTATTAGCTATTATGGCCCAAGACGATAATAACCACTGCTACTCGGCAAGACCCTGTGAGTAATATGAATTGAAAATGAATAAATGCATCAAATCTGTGTGTTCAATGTTCTTGCTTAACTTTCAAGATGTGGCAATTTGAGAAATGTTATTCATAAAGGCTTTGTTGTTTCTTGTACAGTACTAAAATGTAAAGTGCTATAATTTTGGATATTGTTTTGTTTCATTCTTACAAAATTCTCTTTCTGAATTTGCAGACAACTCTTGCTTGACTGTGGAATAGGTAACACTCCACTGACAACTTCAGCTGGTCAGTCAGGTCCAGAGCCTGTGGTTAATCAGCACCGTGCCTTGGTTTTCTGTCAGTTGAAGAGTATGCTAGATATTGTAGAGCGAGATTTGTTCAAGTAAGCTTAGTTTTACATTTTTCTCTCTAGCTGTCAGCATAATCTCTTATCACCATTGTAATACAGATTAACATACTAATTAAACATTTTGATTATTACAGTTTTTAGCTAAGCACTAAGTATGCATGTAGTTAAATATACTAAGTGTTTAAATTAACGGATATAAGTATGTGAAAAAATATGGTAATTTATGAAATGACATTTTACTAGCTATACACTAAACAATTTCTACTTTACAAGTGGGAGGTTGTATCTACATAGTAAACTGATTGTACAGTTTATCAAAAGATACATTTTGTAATTGTATGTTCTAACTTTACAGAGTTCATATGCCAAATGTGAGCTACCTACGATTGGATGGAAGTATCCCTGCTGGACAACGACATTCTGTGGTACATCAGTTTAATAATGATCCTTCAATTGACATTTTGCTTTTAACAACTCAAGTGGGAGGATTAGGCCTTAATCTTACTGGAGCTGACACTGTCATCTTTGTTGAACACGACTGGAATCCAATGAAAGATTTGCAGGTCAGATGTTTATAAAGAATAGTTTATTCATTTTAAATAGATATTTTGTAAGTTTAAGAAAGAAGTATAGTTTTTATGGATTGCAAGATCCAAGGTTAGAGCCTTGATACACCACTGAATACACTGCACTTTCAGCTTTTGGGGAGGTGTATAGTATTGCCAGAGCACTGCTCCAACACCTAAAATTGGAGTTTGAGTCCCAATACTTTAAGAATTAAAAATATGTGTATAAAAATAATTTTTTTAGTTTATACCTAAAATTGTCTTTCCTAATCAAATTCTTAATGTCAGAGAAGACTGGCTATTCATGGTCCACTGATAGAGCTCTATCAGAATTCCCAGCACACACACACACACTGTCATTCTTCCTCAGATGACAACAGGCACCATGCGACTACTGTGGCTCAAAACCAGGTGTAAGAGTTTTGAATAGTGAAATAGTTTTTTTGTTTTTGAAACGTTACATGTTTATTAAAACACCAAATATTGTATTAAAATACTTAGTAAATACATTTTACAATTAAAAAACCTATACATTTTTAAAAAGCTTACTTGCATAATATACAACAAAGTTTGGCTTTTTTGAATTATTTGTGTTGACAGGAGGTGTGCAAAGCATTGCAAAAGTCAAAGTTGTTATAAGATATGCATTATTTTAATGTTAAGCTTGTTTTTTTTCCTTGCTGCTTAACTTAAAGGAGGTTACATATTTTGTCTCAGCAATATATTCATATTCAGTTTAATACTAATGCAAGTAGCCTCAAATAATTAGTGATGCATATATTTTTCTTCATTTAAAATGGACTCACAAAATTGGAAATTAGGTCTTAAATATGAGATCTTTACCATGATGCTGATGTCACATATGTGACAAATTCTGGTAAGGCACCACTATTATAATATTTACCACTACACCACTGCTGCTATAATTTTGATAATTGGGCACACTTTTTTTTTTTTCATGAATAACTAAAAGGTTATTGTTAGCAGTTTTAAAGTAGGGATGATTATGCTTATCCATAGGGCTCATTAGCCTGGCTGTTTATCCAATCTGTTGCATAGGGTGCCAATCAAGTTGAAAATATAATTTTTGTATGTTAACTGTTACTTGTAGTTGACATATTCCTTTTTGGATTCATTTTGTATCTGTTCACTTTGATGTTTTTGACAAACCAGGGTTATTTTCAACACCTTAAACTCCCAGGCAATGCATTATCACGTTCATGACATTTGAGGGTTATTTTGAGCTCTTTAGACTTCCATGCAGTGCATAGCATTTTTTTTTTAATTCTTACAACTAGTTTTAACATTTCTTATTCTTTTAACTCTTTCATTATGATCAGGTCAAAGTATGCATGTGATGACCCCTTACAGTGTTACATTCAAAATTTAAACAACTTTATGATCAGTATATGTCCGTAAACTTGGCATGAAAATGTTGCTTATAATTCAATTGTTTATACTGTCAAAGTTTTAAAGAAGTCTCAAATTTCATTTCTTCTGTGGCAAGTGATGTCTAAGCTCCAAATTCTCCATTTCAGAATTTTCTTTTATTTGCTGAAATAACAATCCCTATCAAACTGACCAGAAAAGCCTCCCCTTCTCTCTGCAAATTTTAAGATTGTTCGCTAATCAACTTTTTATGGCTGATGGACATGATTATAACCAATAGAAAGGTCTTATTGTGTGATCATGGTTTTGCTACACTTAATTTTTTAACCTGTTACTAACTTACTTAGAAAGCTAGATAAATTATAGTAATATTGGGACATTCTATTCTAATACCTTATATATTCTTTGTGTACTAAAATATATATATGAAAGTTTTTTAAGTTTTTGTGAAAGCTCAAATTGATGAGACTCAATGGGGCCTAGGGGAGAATGTTAGATATTTGTCAGTGCTCGAAATTAGTGGAGACCCAGTAGCCAATGGCTCCCAAAAATGCTAGCAGGCCTGTAAAAAGTGTCTGCTAGGTAGCCCGCATGACCCCTTAAAATCAAAAGAGCCATTAATCCACAAATGTCATCACAATGAATGCCCATGCAACGAATGTTTATCTCGAAGATGTGTGTGCTAGATGGTTTACAATGTATACAGCATGTATAGCCTATCATGCTGTGTATACATGAGTGTGTATTATGTATACCAGTGTTTTCCAAACTTTTTTGATGGCAACACACTATGTAAGTACCAAAAATACTTCCACACTGCAGAGACAAGTATCAGCTACTATAAACTGGTGCATTGGAACTCTCCACTTTACCTGGCACTACCCAAAGCTGTGTTGGCAAATCTTTTTCGTGTTGCATGCCCAAAAAGAAATAAGTACACATGAATTTGTTTTTTGGTTAAAAGAATTTAGGATTAAAATAACCAATAGAGAACCACTAACATGACTGTAGAGGTTATGATGTCGAGGTAAGGATGGCAAAGCAAAGGTCGTCCTTAATAGGAAGGGTGAAATACCAAACATCCAGGCTTTGTGAGAAGGAAGCAAATGGCCCTTTTTCAGGATGGTGGGGATATATGTGTCCTATGCTGAGAAATTAGCAGTGGGAGGAAACAGGAGTGCCCCAAGAAAACCCACTTTCACTGGTTAAGTGCCAAATAATCTACACAACCAGTGCCCGAGATGGAGACCTAGAAAAGGGGGAGAAGAATGATTAGTTAAAAAACATGTGAATGTAAATGGATCTTGCTAATTTAGTAAGGATTATGATAGTAAAATTTGAAAATCTTCTTTGCTTGTGTCACAATCTGATGGGTAGAAATCTGCAGGATTAGTGCATTGTTCCTCAGTGTGAAAGTTTAGGTTTGTTGTGCTGGCTGGCTTGGTCTTGTAGCTGCCAATATCTGGATCATTGGTGGGTCAGTCCAAGTAGCTTTATTACTTTGTTTTGTGTCTTTTAGTTTTTGGAGGTTTCTGTCATCATTTCTATTTCTGAGACTTCAAATGATTCTGTTTGAGTTTGTTTGTCATAGATTGGTGTGTTTTCTGTAATTACTGTTTGGATGTTATAATTTTTTATGACTGGCTGGCTGGTTTCATTGGTCTGTGTGTGCTTGGTCTTGAGAGTGTTGATTGGTGGATTGTCTGTTTGCTTGCGTTTGTGTTGTGCTGTTTGTCTGTAGGATCTTTCAGCTCTAAAATGTAAAAAGTAGAAAAAACAACCATGAGTTAGACTATGATCTGCAGTTTTCTTGGAATAGGTGATTACTTTTAGGAAAATTGTAAGCTAGCCTGAAACTTAAGAATTCTGCTTGCTGTATATAAAGGCTTGAATATAAAAGGTGGCTGTTGATGAAGAAGAAGAAGGTGTGAAGATTGAAGGAACCAAGATTGTACCAAGGATATCCAGTTCAAAGTTGACACAAGTTCTATAAAAATAAATGATGATTAGGGTCTGAAGCAATTGATTAATTAATTCTTGATAGGGAATGAATTCATCTAAAAATAGCAAAGATAGTATCATTTAAATGGGCTTCAGTTTATTAAAATTGATGGCAAAGAGATTAAATAGCTTTGGCTGAATTAGTACACAAAAATTTAATTCAAATTTTTAATATAGAATATAAAAGGGAGTGGTCCTTCTCATGATGAGGTCTATAGATCCAATGAAAATAAATTTGCTGTGGGGGAAAGGAGTACCCCAAAGAAACCCACCTTCACTGATCAGGCACCAAATATCGTAGCTGATCGGTGTCTGAATTGTTAAGGGTTAACCAGAGATTATGAAGCTTTTCTCTATTTTTATTTATTTTCCTAAAAAAAAAAAAAGACTATAGCTTGGGATTTGGATGGGTTGAGAGCTACACGTCAATTGTTGCATCAGTCTGACGCTGCATCAATTGATGTTTGAAATATAAGATAGCAATGTCATCTGCATATCAAGACACAAGTGTATGGTTTAAGGAAGTGAACAGGATATCCTTGACAAATAGGTTGTATAATAGTGGACTTAACACTGACCCTTGGGAGACACCAGCTTCGTATGCGAAGGGTCTGGAGGTTGTATTATTGATTTTAACTTTAACTGTTCTGTCGGTAAGAAAGCTGGATATCCAGCGTACATTAGGGGTGGGTACGTGGTTATTGATTAATTTATAGCAAAGTCTGTTACACTGTATCAAAGTTTTCCCAGTTATCATGTTGTTGTAATATAAGTTTCTAATAAGATTATATTCATGGCATTAACGAGTGGTTTAAGTGTAATGTTACGGGTTTATATGAAGTCATGTATGAGTCCTCATGACTTTTGTGAATATGTTTCCAGGATCATAGGTCAGAATTTGTTACTTTGCTTGGGACTGTTTGTTTGATGGCTTGGGCTATGGCATTGATTACATCAAAGACATAATTACCAATTTCTGTTTGGTTGTTCATAGCTGAGATGCACCTTGTTAAAGATTAAGCAGTTCAGGACTCTGTGGCTTATGAAATTGGCACACAAAAATGTCAGCATGCTCTGCACTAAGCACTTGGGAAACATTCTAAATAATAATTGTGTATGAAAGAGGAAATACACCTGTGGAAAGAAATGTTAATACTCTATAAATGATGTGCTAGAATGTGTTAGAAGTGCTTTATGTAGAGTAGGAGCTCCATGCATAAAATTTGTAGTCTAGTCTCACCTGATATGGCTTTGGGATAATTGGATGAGTATGTTTGCCAGTCGTTTTGTATGTAAAAACTTAACATTTGAATTACATAAGCAGTTATTAAAAACATGAATTGCACGATGGAAAAAATGGCTGTAGAATCCAAAGGTTAGATCTGTTATTTCTAGTAAAAATATTTGTTTTTCTGTGACAAAAAATTCAAATGCTTTTCAGGCATTTTTGGCTTTTTCTGATAAAATATTTTTTTTGTTTATGTTTTAAGACACGTTTTCGTTAAAACAAATTAAAAATTCCGAATTAATGGAATTTCCAAAACGTTTGTGCTATGGCCCGATTCAAAGAATAGGGCTAGATACCCACCTATGATTGGCCATTCATGAGGTGGTATTTTGAAAACTATTAGTGGTCTGTTAACAAAGGGTGTATTAATTGTTATGGCAACAGATTTTCAATTTCATGCAAAACACATTACTGACTGTTTGTGCTACTAGACCACTAATAGCATTTTCAAATGCACATTTTCTTCTTGACATACTTTACAGAATATTATGCCACCGTCTTCATCATAGTGTAACCAGTTATTATCCCTCTCCCACTTGGCCCTGTTACAACTTTTCCTCTTTTCATTTCATACTCACGGTCCCGTTGCCTTTTTTACTGTTACTTTCTCAGATCATCAACATTTGGTTCTCTTGATTTAAAAACATTTTTAACTTTGGGCGATTTTTGTGTGATTTGGGTGACTTTTATGCTGTGTTCTCCACAACTTTGACTGAATATCATTTGGCAACAGTGATCAGTCATGGGTAAACTCTTATTCCCAAGTACAAAATCCTTTTGCAACAACGATATGGCAATATCTACAAAATGTAGATGATCACAAAAAGAAATTATTTCATTACTTATTTTGATTAGGAAAGGACACTAATCTAGTTTTACTCATCACTACCTAAGCCATTTTAGAGCTATTTGCATGTTTTCCTTATGCTGTAAATTTGAGGATTTTGCTTATACAAATTCAAATTCCTGAACGATTAATTAACAGCTGTTTCTGGATATGAAAGAACTGATTGCTATAAAGTTAGTGATAATGTAAATGTATGATTTTTCCATCTCTCCATCAAAAGTGCTGGACAGTTTAACAAATGTGTCAGCTTGATGGTAATGAGTTATATGGGAACAAGAATAGAGTACACTGATAATGGTGCAAAGATTTTCCATCATTATTTATTCTGATTAGAAAAGGACACTGCTTTAAAAGGGAACAAAAAGTTACTGTTATACAATGTTTCAGAGAGAAATTAAAGATCATATATGAAATAAAATCATTTAAGTGGTTTGAAAAAAATTAAATGGTTTGACATGTTTTTGTCATGAAATATGAGTTCATAATAAAATAAATTGGGGGTATGATGTGTTTAGTTTCCTTTCAATTTACATAATATCCACTAGTTAATTCAGTGATTTTTCTGATAACCTCTATCATAAAGTACATTTTATAATGAGCTATAGGATTGGCCCCTAAAACATGCAGTTTTAGGGGGCCCGGTTGACTCCCTAAAAAAAAAAAGTTAAGCGTGAGCCCTGTTTGTACTCGAGTGCGAAACAACTTGAATATGCAATGGTTACTATAAATGCTTGTTTTCTGTGTATCTTCTTTATTTATTATATATTTTTTATCAAAAGCTAAGTCTAATAAAATATATTAAAATTACACTAGCTCAAGCACCTGCTAGATCATGTTAGTTCTATGAGAAACAGTTAATGATCTCTTGCTGTGACTTACTGCTTTTTACACAAGTGTTATTTCTAATGGTACACGGTATGGCAATAAATCCTTCAAATTAATAGAAAAAAAGATTTGAAAAATGTTGAAGATATTAAGATAAATGAATTATAACTATCTGATTAATATTACAGTCAGTGCAGAGAAAAAAATGGAATTATTCATTTTATTGCATTGTATGCTAATGATTTCTCTACAGTAGTGTTAGGGTAGAGAGATCAAGAGATAAAATATAAAAATTCTCTACAGTAGTGTTAGGGTAGAGAGAACAAGAGATAAAATATAAAAATTCTCTACAGTAGTGTTAGGGTAGAGAGAACAAGAGATAAAATATAAAAATTCTCTACAGTAGTGTTAGGGTAGAGAGAACAAGAGATAAAATATAAAAATTACTGCAAAAAAACTTGATATTCATTTAGAATGTTGCAGAGATTAAGCAAGCTAAAAATTAAAACTGTAAGATGAAAAATATTTTTATTCTTAGCATGAAAATCACCTTTCACTCAGACTGACTCAGTAAAAGCTTTGGAGATTCACCGACAAATCTTTAGTAGAAAAAACTTTATTAAAAAACCTGTTTTTCTGGTACAACAGATTTGTAATGTTTGCTAAAGCTTTTCAAATTTCATAAAGATAAACTTAGTAACTTCAGAGTTACAATATATATAGTTTCATAGTTCCAAGACTGGTCAAACTGATGAATTTTGTTGTTACAGGGCTAATAAGATGTTGCTAAAATTATATATTGATTTTTGTTAACATGTTACTAGAAGATGGGTTGGTTTGGCTTTGTGATAGACCTCTGGATTTTAAAGCTGCACATTATAAGAGTAACAGTTAATCCCTTTGCATGAATGGTGGGTGGTATGGTGTTCCTGACTGGCTGCCTTACATCCAATCGGTAATTCAGACTTAGGATTAACAGCAAGTAGTCATAGTAGCTATCTTAAAAATACAAATGATGTGTTTGTGTATATGTATATATATATATATATATATAGAGAGAGAGAGAAAGTAAGCTTACTGCATATTATTGTAGGCAATGGACAGAGCTCATCGTATTGGTCAGAAGAAGGTTGTCAATGTATATCGTCTTATTACACGAGGAACACTTGAAGAAAAAATAATGGGGTGAGTGTCTTTAACATTATTTTATATAAAATAAAGCAAACTTTTTACAACCCATGTGTTCTGCAAAGAAATCAAATTAAATTTTTCTAATTCCTTTGTTTAACAATAGAGATTTGTACTCGGTGTCTAATACCTGAAAGTATTTTTGTTTTACTAAATCAACTCTGAATACTACTGTTTGAATTTGAAAACTAAACATTATTTTATTTCATTATTTTTCTTTTAAAATGTACATGAATTAACATTTTGTTTTTATAATAAAAAATAATTTAAACTTTCATTATTTTAATGCCTGCAATTTATGAAGTTTGCGGTAACAGGGTAGAAATATATTTTTTTAGGAGGATTGCAAAATGTTTTGAGATTCCATATCCCTTCACCCACCATCACCCTCATCTTTGGGGTTATTTTTTACTGTCTATGACACATCTACTGTTTCCTTGCATTTTCAAACAAATGCAAACTAGCTCATTGGAATACATTTTTGCTGTAGAAGGTATTATGAAAAATATTGTTTTTTGTTTGAAACAGGTTGGAAGGTGTGAACCCAGTTATCTTGTTACTATACTGAATGTTTACTTAATATACGTTTTATTTTTTTACTTTTACTGATTGGTTACTGACAAGTTCCTGGCCCACTGTACACACATTTACTTGTAGTTAATTGATGAAGAGGATAGGACTGTAAGATTGTTGCATTTGATCACTATTTCAGAGCTTACTTACCACCAATGGAAAAAATAGTTGGAGAAGGTCCCAAAGTATTTACACAGAGAAGAAATATACTAAAATTATTATATAGTAGCATTTAATGTGTTACATGTAGTGATGTTTATTACATATTTATTTCTTACGATAGACTTCAGAAATTCAAAATGACCATAGCCAACACAGTCATCAGCCAGGAGAATTCCAGTCTCCAAACAATGGGCACAGACCAGCTTCTTGAGCTTTTCACCTTAGACGATTGCAAGAAAGGAGAAAATGCTGCTGCAAAGTCAAGTACAGTTACACACGACGGAAAAGGGATGAAGGCAGTATTAGAAAACTTGCCAGAACTCTGGGATGCAGATCAGTATGAACAAGAATACGACTTGTCCAATTTTCTAAAAGCATTGAAAAAATAACTGTAAATATAAACTTAATGTACATAAAAACTAGTGTTTTTTACTGCAGACATATGTACAAGTGTTTTCTGGGGGGGGTCAAGCACCAAGTACTAATGAAGGAAATGTTTCAAGACTTGTTTTGAATTTGATAAACTTGGGTAGAAAAAGTTTAAGGCATTTTGGGATTTAGTAATATGAAGTGTGAGTGTGTGCGTGATTGTTTTTATAATCCATGATCCATTTCGAAGTTGCGAGCAGTTTATATTTATAAAATATTTGGAAATTAAGATATAAAAAACAAACATTTTAATATTTGTATTTAAAAATGTTCAGGTATTAACACAAGATTCTAAGAAACATTTTAATGTGTTGCAGTAATACCTTTGTGTAATTTTCAACATAGTCTTAAGTGACAAATTTGTAGTAAAGACTTAATGGTAGGGTTTCCTTACCTGTCCCAGAAATTATAATTAGATTATTCAGTTCTACTGAAAATATTTCTCCCAGTGACTTAATTGTTTTAGTGAAGTAAAGAAGCTTTATTTACATTCAAAACTGCTTAAGTTAAGAAAACCCAATCTTGTGACATCTGTTTGACTACAAGGCTACTTTAACCCATTAACTTCGGATGACGGATATTTCCGTCATTGAAGTTCTATGGCTCAGCTGCGAATGATGGAAGTATCCGTCAGTCGCATGTATATAACTATAACTCTATGCGAATGACGATAATTACCGTTTTATTGTGATTGATGGCAACTCAGTTTTATCTGAGAGTTAGAAAATGGCAGCTGAGCTGCTCCTGCAGCAGTTAATGGGTTAAGTTATAAAGTGATATTGACAGATTGTAGAAACAAATTACTTGAGCATTGTTTATTTACATTGAAAATAATAGTAAACTAGCATGTAATCTAAAGTGTTAAGATCCTGACAATAGTTACAAGGTTAACATACTTCACTTATCAAGCAAATACTTACCGTGAAGTATGCATGTTGGCGATCTTTAAGCAAGGGACAGTTTCATTTTTATAACACAGGAAATTAACTTTTAGCGTTATAGTAGAAGTTCACATGGTAAGTTGAAGTAGTAGATGTGGGTACTTTGTATAAGCACTAACTTTTAGTAATACATTAAATTAAAACTATTCATCTGGTTATTTTACTGGATCAATTTGTGGCATACAGAGTTTTAACTATACTTGAGACAACTGCTTATTTACTTTAAAATATTTTATATTATTCAATGAAATAAACTATACATGGAACTTAATTGAATAGAGTT